GGGTTTCCTGCTCAGGAGAGACTTTAACGAGGAGTCCTTTTTTCATCCCATGAATGAGATTACAGTTCCGAGCCTCAGCGCTGGCTCCCTGGAGAGACAAGGTCAAAGGCTACAGCCTCCTGCATCGAGATGCTGCTGCTCCGGGCCGTCGGGCGCAGGCAGCGGCTCACGCACAACAGCCGCGAGGCACCTAAGAGCTGGGCAACAGCTCCAAGAGCCGCCCCCTTCCTGGGCTGCTTCAGCCCTAGATACCTGGTCAGCGTGCTCAGACCAAGCTCCTGCAGGCAAAGCCCTGGAACTGTCTGCAGACTCTGGGAATCCCGAACGAGAAGAAGAAAGCGTTCGTGTTTGAACTCCACGACTTTCTGGTGCGAGGTTAGGTGATCGGTTTGTCTCAGGCGCCGCCAGAAAAGGCCGTGAGCCACGCTGCTGACAAGGAAGGTCAGTGGAATACTCCAACCTTTCTCCACGGAGAAGCTGAGCGAGTTTCCAAAAGGAAAAGGTCAGGAAGGCTTCCCATGTGCTGTTAGCTGGGAGCCTCCTGTACAGCCTGCTCTTCCCCAGCAGCTTCTCCCTACAATGCAACCGGGAGAATCCAGACCGGTTCCTCGGTTCAGAGTGACGTGCAAGGGAAAATCCAGCCAGCCAAGTCGGTAAAACAGGGGTAGCTCTCCCTGCTCAGATGCATGAAGGAGCTGGAAGCCCAGCTGCAAACGCCTTCGCAGGGAAGATGAGGTAAGCCCAGAGGGCAGGTCCTGCCACACCGCACGGACGGCCTGAGCTCAGCTCCGTGGGGCACCACGCAGAGCCGTGACCCTCAGCGCGAGGGGGGCGGTCGCCTTACCCACCACCTGAAGCACAGCGGTAGGTGGCGGTGGCAGCGATGAAGACCTGAGGCTCGGGCTGGATGAACTCCTCCAGCACGCTGAAGAACGGCAACAAACCGACCCAGAGACCAGGGACCGGGGACTGATGAGTCTCCTCAAGGGCAGTGTTATGCCACGGGGCAAAGGGGGGCAAAGGAGTTTTTCCAACTGAAGCACAAGGACCAGGAGACTGCAACGGTGCCAAGGAGAGGAGCTCACCAGTGCGAGGCAGAGACCTCCTCCACCTTTGAGCTGGAGCATGTCCCAAACCAGTAGGCCCGAGCCCAAGGGCAGGGCAGCCTGCCACTGCTGATGTCCTGAGATCCGACTAAGCAATGTGGGTTGACCCTTCTTCCCAGTTCCAGGAGTCAAAGCCTTGCAAGGAAAACTGATCTTCAGGGAACGCTGGAACCCTAAATTCTCACCACAGGCACCTTTTGCGCTGGTCGGGGACAACGAACATCCCTCGAAGCCAGATGCTGTCTTAGACTTAAGCTGTGGGCTCGGGCCATTCAGGACATTACTGCTACAGCTTAAAAGCAATTGTGGTTTTGAACAAGGCTTTCTCGGGTCCTACATGCTCTGCAGAAACAAAAGCAGCAGGGACAGATACGATGCTTGAAGTACCTGCACTGTTGCGTGTGGGTGCACCTCGCCTTCAACACCAGCACAGAGGGTGCCCCGAGCTCCTGGGGACCAGGCCCCAGCTGGAAGATGGCTCAAGGAAAAAGGTGCCTTTAAGAAACACGGGGTTTTTTGGTTGGGCCCTGTTGTCCTCAGAAGACACAGCAAGGGACTGTGGTGCCTGAAAGCGGAGCTCAGAGCTCCTCTGCCCACCGCCCACTTTACACACGACATTCTCCACCCAGCCACCGTTGATTCAAAGCAGCTGTTAAAACCAGGGCGCACACAATGCCCTTGATGAAAAAAGGTGCCTTTAAGAAACACGGGGTTTTTTGGTTGGGCCCTGTTGTCCTCAGAAGACACAGCAAGGGACTGTGGTGCCTGAAAGCGGAGCTCAGAGCTCCTCTGCCCACCGCCCACTTTACACACGACATTCTCCACCCAGCCACCGTTGATTCAAAGCAGCTGTTAAAACCAGGGCGCACACAATGCCCTTGATGACAGCGCTTCTCTAACCGGGTGCAGCCCGAATTTCACCTCCAACCAAAGGGACACAAAGCAGATGCTTTGGGACTGGGTCTCTTTGTCCGCGACACACTACGGCCCCGCGACAGACACCAGCTAGCGGGAGCCAGAGGGAAGCAGGTGCGGCTCGGCACGGTGTAAACACAAGAGGAGCGGCTTACGGGTCGTCCATGAAGTCGTAGATCTCCCTCATGGCCACACCGCCCACGTTGACAAAAAAGACAAGTCGCAACAGGACCAAGTAGTGTTCTGGTGGCATCCAAAGGACAAACTTCAAGTAAAACGTGTTCAGCTCTGCCAATAAAAACTGAGAGAAAGGACATTTTAATTCCATTCTGTAGACTGCTGAATGAAGCCTGGAACCTCCCGGACTCCCCCCGCCCCCAAGGCCTGCTGGGCACCACTGAGCGTGCCATCGTCGCTCGTGCCAACGGCCCAGAACAGTCGGGTTTTTGCCAATTTTCTGTGTGTGGGAAGAGGTATTAAAAAACTCCAACAGAAACCTGGGCAAGCCCTGCCTCCTGTTTTGAGCAAGATTATCGGGAGCTTGAAGTACCTGCAGAACTGAGAACAAATCCTAAAAGCAACAACTTGTCACAGAATCACAGACTGGTTTGGGTGGGAGGAACCTCACAGCCCCCCCAGTGCCACCCCCTGCCACGGGCAGGGACATCTTCCATAGCCCAGGGTGCTCCAAGTCTCATCCAGCCTGGCCTTGGACACTCCCAGGGATGGGGCATCCACAGCTTCTCTGGGAACCTGTCCCAGTGCTCCCACCCTCTGCAGGAAGAATTCCTTCCCGATGTCCCATCTCCATCTCCCTCTTTCTGTTTAAACCTGTCCTTTCACTATGTTGAAAATCTGAGGGAGGGACCCCCAAAGTAACAAGAGGCATAAGCAGTGCATCCTGGGGGTTTTGTTGGGTTCATTTTGCTCTTTCTGCAAATGTCACTGCTGAAGCCAGGGGAGCTTCTTATCCGTTTGCAGAACGGTCCCAAGGCCCTGGAGATGTGGTTAAGGGAGCAGAGGCAAGTTTCTCCCTTCAGAGAAATGATAACCAGTGGCGTTAAGGACTGTTCAGCCCAAAAGAGTGAGCCAAAAGCAGGAGCTGCTCATAAACTGCTGTCGTTCTACCGGAGCCTAGCACGAATTCAAGGGCATCTCTCCGCTGCACAATCTGCTCCAGCACCACTTCCTCAGGGTGCAAGAAGTTGGGATTACGCACCCAGTAACCACCCGGAGACGCGGGGTGGTTTGTTTACGTGGCACTTTTACTTCATTTCTCCCAGTACCTCTGGGAACCTCAGCAAGCCCGTTGTGCCGCGTGAGCTTGGCAAGCGTTGGACGTAGCGGAAACGGGGCGATGCGAACCCGTATTCGACTGAGTCTGCCAACTCGTTGCTCGCTTACGGACAGCCCCTTGCTCCTGAGGCACCTCGGGTGGGCCCTTTGCCACCAGGGTACGAGGTGATGCTGCTACGAGAGGGGCCGTGGCTTGCCGAGCTGAGGCAAGAGCGCAACCGGGAGCTTCACTGGACGGGCCCCAGAATAAACCAACCCCAGGGTCATGTCCCACCTACTTCAAGATGCTTAAAGGTGTCTGCGCCAGCGACTGTGACAAACCCAGCAGTGACACTGGAACCGGCTGGTTCCCACTGCCTCTGGAATGACGGGAGGGCTCACAGGGGGGTTTAGCCCAGTTTCACAGCTGAATTGAAGCGAGGCGGAGCTGCTCCCAGCAGAGCCAAGCGACGTCCCACGGACAGCCCAAAGGCCAAAGTCCCCCGCTGGCAAGAGGTGGAGTGGGGAGAAAGCACTTCAACTGCCCAGTTCATCCTCCCCCGCAGTGTCACACACACCATCCCCGACTGAAACGGGAGCTATCAATTCCCGGCGATGCCTTCCCGCAACAGAGATTCCGCCGCTCCGGCAGCCACAAGCAGGAGGGAGACTGCCCGTCTGTTGCGAGTGCTGGAGAGGCCAACTTCTGCCTAAATGGGGGGGCTCCGTCACCGGAACTGGCCAAGCTGGATGCCATCAACACCATCACGTGCTACGCGTTCAGTGAAGCATTACAAAAACCCGGGATAGCTGAGTTATTTCAGTCTGCATCCAACTGCCCTGCGAGGCAGAAGGGTGTGCTGCAGGAGCCGCGCCGCTCAGGGCTAAGAGGCCTGAGGCTCTGGCGACAGTCCCCTCCAGCCGTAACGCCAGGTTTACCTGCCTCAGGCTGAGAGACACAAGCCACCTTCCCCCACAGCCAACGGCCATGGTAGCAGCGCTTCCCTGCTGGACCACGGACAGGTCAGAGGTCACGCTGGTCAATGCCATGCAGCCAGCAGGGAGTTCGGGAATGAGTCCGTGAGCCCCCAGACACGGCAACAGCCAGCTTTTCCCCAGGGTCTGAGAGTGACCTCCAGCCCCAGCTAAGGAAACGTCACGTGTCAGGGTTTCAGCCTGTTCCCACGTGTGCAGTTGCTTGAGCGTTACGAGACATGAAATCCAGCGGGAGAGAAGAGACGGAGAAGTGTCCTTACCACAAAGATTATCCCGCAGACTGCCAGCCATCTGCGTAAGCTGGACGCTGGCTTCCACTCAAATTTGACCCAGCTGTACGGGGTGAACTGGAAGACGATCCTCTTCATTTTACCTCTGGCAATAAAAAAAAGCAGAACACGTTCTTGTGGTTTTAAGAAACAGCACGTGAGAGGCACCTACCGACATCCATTCGAGACGCCGGTTCACACATGCAAAACACGTCCGTTGACTCCATAAAAATTCCTTCTTAACGAGGTTACGTCCCGAGTCGGAGAGCAGCCTGCGGCTCAGACCATCACCGTAGCACTCCGCACCCGCTGCGTGTGCAGCCCCTCGTTCTGCGTCGCTCAGAGACACGGGGGGAGCGCAGCTGCTGCTGGGACAGACTGCGGGGACTTACTGCATTCTACGCTTCGGTGTCCCCGTCCCGACACAGCCCGGGTTACTGGGGAATGCATTATCTGCCCAAGGACCGAGCAGATCCTTGTCAGTGAGAGCGCAGGAGCCTGACCTGGACTCCTGCATCCCCTTCAGCGACGTCATTACGCCGGCTCATTTCCACAAGCCGGCCTCATCCCCCGACTCCGGGCGACGCTGGTGACAGACACGTGCATTTGCACCACTCGTTCGCAGGATAAACACCTCAGGTCTGACCGAGGGCCTTCCGCGCAGTCCTAACGGACACCGCCGGAGCCATCTACGTGCACGTCCGTTCCTTAAATCCCATCAACCCCCCTGGAACAACCCTTCAGCCACCAACATGGGCCCCAGCTTCGCGCTGCGCTGCTGCCGCCGGAGCCATCTACACGCACGTCCGTTCCTTAATTCCCATTAGCCCCCCCGGAACAACCCTTCAGCCACCAACACGGGCCCCAGCTTCGCGCTGCGCTGCTGCTGGCGAAGTCGCTTTCTACACCAACTTACTTGTACGTAGGAATGTTCCAAAGTCCTTGCCATTTGTACGTTTTCAAGGAAAGCCAAGAGAGAGTCTTCATCCCACAGTAAATCCCGAGTCCGTTACATAAGATCACATCCATTATCCACTGCAAGGAGAAGAACACAGCCATGCTGGAGGAGAAACACCGAGGTTGGTAAAAGGGCTGAACTGCCAGGAAAACCCCCCCAGCTGCCCAGCCTACTCCAGCAAAGCAAAGCGTTCCGCGGAAGACGGCTGTAGGCTCCCTTCTGCCGAATTAACCTGCGGCAGACCTCTCCCCACCTACCGTCAACTCCGCTCCTACGTGAGAGCTTCGCAAACATGCCAAGGAAAAGCATCGGAGCGTGTTCCTACGGACCAGAGTTTGCTGTGTCCAGTAACTGAACGCACCCGTCGAGCTCCAGGCTGCTTCCCAAGGAACGACCTTTTGCCAGGCTCGAGATGGGCCACCGAGCAAGCGCTTCCTGCCCGCACTCCGACTGCCCCGCGCCAGCTCTGGAGATGGAGCTCTTGAGCTGAAAAGCCTGGCTGTGCCCCGCAGCCCGAGCAATCCTGTACCGAGCTCCTTGGAAGGCAAACCAGCTTTGCCTGGTGTCTTTACACATAATGTACTCGCCGTTACACATACAACCGCAGAGCAAACCATTACAACCCTGGGGAAGAGCCCGTACCGCAAGATGAAGCCAAACCAACATCCGAACCGTGGCTGCGTGCCATGGATGTAGGTGGCTTTGATCCCTCTGGTAACCCGTTCAGAGGGGAAAGGGGAAAAAAAGCGCGTCCCTAAGCTCTGGAGCTTGTGTTTCCCAGAGAAACTAGATCACAGTAGTCCCTCTGGCTGGCGAAAATCCAGACAAGCAGTATTTTAGGTGAAGAACAGTTACAGAGCATCAGGTGCAAGGACCACGCAGCGTCTCAGCAAGGCCAGACCTTCAGCGTTCAAAGCAGTTTCACAAACCAGACGTTCTGAACACAGCGGTATTCACCGTCTCCAGAAAATCGTGAGGCCAGGCTGGCACAGAAGGAAGAGCTGGACACAAACTGCATTGAGTTTGGGTATTTCTTTCTTAACAGGCAAGAAAAAATATCACCATCTGAAAGTTTATACACAAAGTTTCCCCTTTTGGTCTCAGATTTTATGGTTTGTACCACCACCAAACATTCGAAAATGCTCAGGCAAAGCCTGAGATGCTCTCTGGTGCGAGATGAACCCACACAAACATTTCACCTGGTGCAATAGTTTGAACACCCACAAAATTATACAGACTCGTTACAAACTCAACACGGAGAAGCACCAACGTGATACAGGACGAGGGGTGACGGGTTTGAATGGGAAAAGGGAGACTGAGATGGGACATCAGGAAGGAATTCTTCCCACAGAGGGCGGGGAGGCGCTGGGACAGGTTCCCAGAGAAGCTGTGGATGCCCCATCCCTGGGAGTGTCCAAGGCCAGGCTGGATGAGGCTTGGAGCACCCTGGGCTATGGAAGGTGTCCCTGCCCATGGCAGGGGGTGGGGCTGGGGGGCTGTGAGGTCCCTTCCCATCCAAACCGCTCTGTGATTCCATGATTCTAATGCTCCTGAGCTGCAGCAGTCACGCATCCCTCTCTGGCCACGTGCACGTGATATAACTGGGTTCTCACCGCTTCCCACCCCGTCCCGTTAAAACACACTTCCGCTTCTCTCAACCCCCTGCGATCCGGGTACTTACGTGATCCCACCAGCATTCGCTGAAGTTCGGAAGCTGGTGCTCCAGACTGTACTCCAGGAACTCAAACATCACGCTGATGATCATGCACATCCACCAGTCGCGGATCATCAGGGTCTGCGTGAAGGGAGGAAAAGAGCCTGTCAGGTTCCACGAGCTGCACGACAGACCCAAGCCGCCGCAAGCGCGCGTGCTCGCGTGCCAGAGCGAGCAGGACCAGACGTCTGCCCTGGAGAAATCCAAACGAAGGAGAACTCCGGAAACACCACAGAGACCCTGCTCAGGTTTAGTTTTGTAACAGTTTAGGGAAGAATGATGGGGTTTTTCCTTCATTTCAGAAGTGGTCACTTAAGGAATATGAGATTAACCCTTTCTGGAGGCTGAAGGCAGAGGGCACACAGGGTTGTTTACCGGTTGTTTCTAGAGTCGAGCACCTTGTCTCCTGTATCCGGAAAAGGGTCATGAAACTCCCAACAACCTCATCTCTGCCCTCGACTCAGACTCAGACTCATTTAGGCTGGCCTGGACCTTTAGGATCGAGTCCAACTCACGCTCATCCTTTGGTTATGGGAGAAATCCAGGCCAACACACCCACGGGAATACCCCTGCACCTGTGCAAGGGAACCAACCCCTTGCTCGTGGCTCATTTGAAGCAGCCTGCGCTTTCTCAGGTTGCGACGTACGGTGGCCTTGCAGGCAACAAAGCACACAAGGCCTGCAGGGCGGGATAAAGGCAGCGCCCACGTTTGCCGAGGTTAAAAAGCTGACAGCTAGGCCGAAGGGATCAGGAGAGCACATGCTGAATGCGTTCTGCCAGAGAGCAGCGCAGCCGGAATGCCCTTACAGGGGTTGGAACCGGCGAAGTAACAGCAATTAAACCACCGTCCTGGTAACGACTGGAAGTCCTGGGCTGGGAAAAGCCTGACACGGAGCAGGAGCAGCACGCCATCGCGCCCCTACGCCGGGGTAACCAGACCTCCACCGCCCTCCCGTACGCCGCGTGCGGAGCTCAGGGGCGTCTGCCTTGCTGCAGGAGCAAAGATGTTTGCTTTTACTGCCCTCCTCCGAGTGTGCTGGGGGAAGGGGTTTGTCAAGGGATCGTTACTTTGGAAAGAAATGAGGTGACCCAGCGCAGGCAGGGCAAAACCACAAAAGCCTCTCACGCGCTACAAATGCTCAGTCTGGTTCACAGGCCACTGGCTAACATAACTGATGGCAGAGCCTGGCATCAGCGAGGCAGAAGCAGCGGTACTGGAACAGAAGGGTAACGGAGGACCCATTCTTACCTTCAGGTACCAGCCAAAAAAGTGAGCAGGAACAAACCCATCCAGCTTGTCCTGTAAACCAAGAAGAGGGCGTAGGTCACGCTGTGCTGCACACCACCACCCGTTCGCAAGGCTCGATTCTTCCCTCTCCCCAAAACCCGCAGCAGCAAAGCCAAGTCGTCACACAACTAAACACCAGACGCATTTCACGGGCGCGCGCTCCCCAGCGCAGCGAGCAAACAGGCCAGCCTGCACGCACGGCGAACAACTTCGAGGCCAGAAACTGGAATTGGGATCCGGTTGATTAAGCAGAGGCTACCTTTTCCTGCTCCGTGGCACGCTCCTTCCCTTCCCAGGGGACGGAAGCAGAATGCCTTCAGACCAGAGCAAGAAGGCGCGTTTCTCACCAGCCCCATCTCGGATGTAGCTTCAGCAGGCCTGCCACCGCGAGTCCCCGGGCAGAGCGCTGCCTGCTCCGAGTCCCGGCCAGGCCGGCTGCGGCTGCTCCGTCATCCCAGTCCCTGGTGCACCGAACACTTCCACGCGGACCCAGAGGATTCGGTGCTCCCCACTACACACGCGCCAACAGCTCCACGCAGCCGGGCAGCTGCATGTAATCCTTCGCCCCTGAACATCAAGGCTTCCCTCCGCCAGCGACAGGCCACAACCCGGCGGTTCCTGGTGCTCAGAAACGTGCCACATCGGGGTTGCCTGGCAACACGCAACTTCCGAACTTCCTGCCTCAAGGCGACTGCGCGTAAACACACAAATAAACCCAAACCCCTGGGGGAAAAGCTTTCCATCAACAATCTGAGAGTTGTCGAACAGCTTCCGGTCTCTCCTGGGCAGTGGAACTGGGATATGAAGGACATCTCCATCCGACGGACAGGAAAGGTCAGGCTGGAGCCTGCCGTGACCTGTTCGCTCCCTCAACGCTCAGGAAGACTCCTGACTGCGCTCCGAAGGGTTCAATTGAGCAATCTTTAACCAAAACCCACACGCGCTTTGTTTCTTACCCAGACGTTGTGAAACGGATCCGTTGCATTGCCAGGGTCGTAAATGAGGCAGTTTCCCCCGTAGTCTCTTTCTGGCAAAGGAACACCCAGCTGCGGATCAATGTACTTCATGAACTGCCTGCCATCTTGCACGGTCTGCAAAAGAACACAAACCCCACCGCTCCCCTTAGTAGGCAGCGACACGCAGAATTGCTCAAAGAGAACGACCATCAACGGTCAACCCCAAACGCGCGTTTATCCTTTTCTGTGCTGCAGAACACCCCCTGCAACGCACCCAGACCCCGAGGCGTCACGCAACATGCATCCCTGACTTCTGGGCCTCAGATGCTCGATATTTAGAGGTCTTACATTCACTCAGTAGTCTTTTTTTTCCTTAAAGCTGAAAAACCAGAGAGCTCTCGGTTTCCTAGGCCCCTCCTCCGTGCCCCCTCCCTGCCAGGCTGGTGCAGTTCATCCTTCTCATCCTTCTCACCGACCCTTCTGCCCTTCCCTTCTCCTCCCGCGTGGCCAGGGTAAAGAAGCCACCAGGCACTCGGGGAAGGCTGTTAACGGCTGCATCTCCTGCCCTGGTGAGCTCCCGGCGTCCCAGGGCGGGAAAGATCCAGCAGCACTTCAACCGAAACGCAGCACGCGGAGCACACGCATTGGGGCAGCACTAGCGGGATTAGCCGTGCACGCGTGCTCAGCTCGCTCCAGAGGTGGAAAGCAGAGAACCACGCTGTGCTGGGTCCGCAGCGCCCGGTGGGGCCGTGCAGCCTGGCCCCGAAGCGCCCGGTGGGGCCCGGCGAATGAGCTGCTCCAAGTGAGAGCAGCACAGGTAATGAACTTGCAGCGAACAGCAAGGAAGAAATTATCAAAATAGGTATAAGCAGTGAGCAAAACCCGATGCCGTTGACTAGGAACGCGCGCATGTTTGCTGAGCAAGCGTTTCCCAGTGAAAGCGCTCCCTGCCCGGCCGGGGCTGCGCAACGGACGCAGCGGAACACCCACGCCGGCCGAGCAGGCAGCAAGAGCGGGGCACGGCCAAGATCAGTTAATAGCAGCAATAACGGAATTACAGGATAGACCCCCTCGAGCCCCATTCAGCGTACGCCAAGTTCCACCGAGAGCGAGCTCGTCGCTGTCTGCGAGGGTTGGTCACTCTCAGACTCAGCCCAACTCCTGTGCAAAGCAATAATTTATTTTTAGGGGAGAGCTGAGCGACAGCTCCCGAGTCCTGAACAGCTGAACGGCCGGCAGCGCAACGCAGCCCCGGAGGGACGCAAAGCCATTCCAGGCTTTTCCACTGCAATTCAGAGCTACAGCAGACTGCCACAGAAAAATGAAGCGTATTATTCAGCCTGGCTGCGGCTGGTCAGGAGGATCATTCACAGGGGTGCCTGGAAAATAACAGGGTGACGTGAAACAGAACCTAAGAGTGAAATGGAACAGGGTGCGTGCTCCTCAGCGGCGAGGAATGACAACAGAGGCCAGACAGACCTGCTCATGCCTGTGAAAGGGTCGAACTACCCCCTCCAAGCAGGGCAGGCTCTGGAAGAAACACTAATGAGACCCAAGGGCCGTGCGCAAGGGTTTACGTGACCCCTGCGAGATGTCAGCGGGACAGAAACCCATTGTTGTTCACTGACCGACGGCAGACCCGCTGCGGCTGCTGGCTGCAGCAAGCCAGGCCGAACGGAGAGAACAGGAGAGCTCTGTGTTCTCAAGAGAGCTTGGCACTGCCTTTCGGGGAGGCTCCAGGAAAGCCAGGCAGAACAAGAAACACCAGAGCCAAAGGAAATCTTTGATGACCTGGAAAGGGTTTGATCCCTGTTAAAAACCTGCCTGCAAAGCAGTTTCTCCAGCAGAAGACAGATCCTGACCCCTCAGATGAGGCCCCGCTTCCGTCTCTCTTGGCCTCTGGAGGCAAAACATTTTTTCCCAAAGACGTTCTTCATGCTCCCCTCACTTTCAGCGATGTCCTAAGGGCCCTGCTGAGCACGTGATGGCACCGGCACAACCCGTTTATAGGGCAGAGCACCCAGATGTCAGCGAGAAGGAGCTGTCTGAAAGGAACACCCAGGGACCAATCGGAATCTGAACCTGGAGAGCATCCAGCTGTCTGACAGAACAGGACCGTCGCCTCTCACGGACCTTGGCTTCTGCTTTCCAATCGTGCTGCTGCCGGAGGAGACGACTGCCGGATGGAGTAACCGAGGGAAGGACGGGGAGCTCGCTCTTGGTGCTCAGACATGACGTGCAGCCGTGTCAGTGCACACAGGCACACAGTGACTTTGCTGACAGCCTCGGGTTGCCTGCCCTGGCTCACCTCAACATATTTTACCTCAACTGCTGCATTTCTGAGAAGTCACAGAACTGTAACAGCCAGGGGAACATTCCCAGTTTTCTGAAGGACAAGAATATGGCATAAAGCGACGTGCCTTACGTGGAAGTACCAATGGCACGTCTTTCTAGAAAAACAATCACCCGGGTTCGCTGCCACTACACCGAGTTGTGTGTGAAGTTTCGGTCTATCACAAAAACACACATTCGAAGCACCTACTGTTCAAGGTAAAAAGGACTCCAAAGATTCAACGAGGTGAATTCACCCCGCTGCTGAGGATCCAAGAACCAGCAGCCGGTACACAGCCGGAGCAGGTCACAGCAGGTGCGGGAGAGCAGAGAGAAACCTGGGAACTCCCAGTCGTTCGATCTAAACCACAGCTGCCTCCTTACCACAGCACCTCACTGCGGTGCCGAACCCAGACAGACTGACTGCAGGTTGGACAACGAGGTGAAGTATTTTACGATACACGTTTTCCTCAACCCAGAAGTCTAATAGAATAGCACAACGATTCCGTTTTACAAACGCAAACAAGAGTCACAGAGCGGTGGGAGTTGGAAGGGACCTCTAG